AACAGTCTTGGAACAGCTAAAAATCAGCTAATTATCATGCAAATTAGGTAATTAATATTCATAGATTTTTACCAAAACCTAATCAACTCTGCGCATTATCCCAGAGCATCTATGTACCAAGTTTCATCAAAATTTGATTAGCGGTTCTTGAGATAACGGTGGAACAAAAAAAGTGACATACATACATACAGACATACAGACCCCTGGTAACTGCAAAGACTCCATTTTGTGCTTCGCACACGGGAATCAAAAATGTCTGAACTGTATTATTTTTGATTGAAAATGTAGCTGTACTGTGAAAAATAAAATATACTGTATATTATAGGTAAACAATACATGCAATCTTTGGTTTGAACATCTACAGGAGATGTGCTTCTAATAGAATGTATACTCGATAGTTAAAATTAAGAATTCAGTATTACCGGTACATATCATTTTCATGGTTGTTCCAAATAAACTGCCAGTTTTTCATGTTTGGTTGACCTAAAAGTGTTGAATAAGGTCAGATACCAAAGAATAAGTTGATCTTAGGGTTTTTGCAGAGAGCGATTTTTCAAAGCAGAGGTTAGTAATTTTTAATATAAAAAAGTAACACCAAAAATTTAGCAACAAATGTAGCAATGAGGGGACTTTAGGACATACAAATTTCACATCTAAACACCAGTGATAAAATCAGGAAAAGCAGAAACTCACAATACATGTACAGTGATCTCTCGCTAAGACATGGGTGTTAGGATTCATACAAAAGCTGCAACTTATAAAAGGTTGCGACTTGCTGAGGGGCCTGCATTGAAAATAAAAAAAGCACATAGACCCACAAGGGTTTATTTATAGTATGTCTGCTTTATCAAAAAAGATCACAGCTTTATTGATGTCATCATTGTCAGATAATTTTGCACGTTTTCTATTTAGTCCCGTCTCTTTGTCAACTTAAAAAACAAATTTTCTCAGCTTTTCTTCATTTTTTAGTGGACTTGCAAACTGTCAGATCAGGTGCAACCCTTGACACTTTTCTTGACACATCGATCGCTGCAAGTTTTGTACGTACAAACAGATGGGATAGCGTTGGCTTCGACATGCTGCGTAGCTGAGAGCTGAAGATCAGATAGATAGATTGAACTCTTTGTAGCGAGTTTTATAAAGTGCATGTATATCAAAAGGGAGCCTGCTGAGAAGTACGTAAAGTCACGACTTGACACCCCTTGAGTCAGGCTGCTGTCATACTTTGTATCTCAGTAATTGACAGACAGTAGATGTTATGTTGTCTCCTCTAGTCCTTTAATAGTAAATTGAATACACAATGCAACAAAACATTAGTTCTTTTACTTAAAAACTGTGGGCAAAACACTTTTTTTTTGGAGCCATCCAACTACCCGCGACTTAGCCAAAATAACGACTTACTGAAGCACGACTTAGCGATGGGGTCACTGTATTAGATAACAAAAAAAACCTAAAAAGAAAGATACACACCTTCTCTAGTTGTTAATTTCTCTCCAAAACTTTTCATAATATGTTTGAACTCTTTAGCCATTATAAACCCTCTGTTCTGTCTGTCTGTTTTTCTGAAAGCATCCAGTATCTCTCTGGCAGGATCTTCTGACTTCAGCTGCTTATGCATCATTACCAGGAAATCATCAAAGTGGATCTTACCGTCACCTGTAATACCAAAACAATCAAAGAAATCTTGGAGTAAATAGAGTAAAATAGGGAATTTTTAAAATTAGGTAATATAACTTTGCTTCTTGAGTTGCACAATGTTAAATCAATCTTGTATTAAAATTTACCACTAGAAATAAATATTATGAAAATTAGGTTATTAAAATGTACGATTTTTCAACCACAAACAAATCAGGTCTGCGCATAGTCCAAGGGCATTCATGTACCTAGTTTCATTGAAATCTGACAAATGGTTCTTGAGATATCTGTGGAACAGACACATGTACATACACACTGGCTAAATTTACCCACAGGAGTCAATAATAAAGGTAATATTTGTAGTTTAGTAACTGAGATTTGTCGGAATCTTAAACATGAAACAATCATACATGTATAGTATCATGGAATTACATTTGCCACATTAGACATTAGAGTTGAATGCACTATTATTAGATCAAACAACTATTCCTGGATAATTTGGTCTTGGCAAAAAGGTCAGGGGGTGAGAGTGTAAAGACGAGTGATCACTAGGCCAATTCGTTTCCCGAAAAATCTAATTATCACTCTCTCAATCCGTGAAATTTCCCAAAGAAAATTTAATAGCATAACTCCCCTAATCACTCACAGTACTGTGTCATCCGATAAATTAAGTTACTGTAAGTTACAAATTGAAAGAAAATTTGAGAATGCAAATTAAAAGCCACATATGCATGTTAACTTTGAAAAACAAACAGAAATTTGTTGCTTCTTTTTCATGGCGAATTCACAGAATATTAAATGTAGTTTCAATCGAATGTTTGTTTTGGTTGATTTGTTTTGTCACTAATCATGGTGACTTTCGAACTATTGAGTGAAAACATCATTAATCATACCAGAAATCTATTGTTGGTGAAATATCAGACAAAGTACGCAGACTAACAATATTAATCACTGACTTGTAATGCTGACAACACCAAATCGGATTACAGTCAAATAATCTATTTTGAAGTTTTTTTTTGGATTCATGATGCCTGCAATGCGAATGATGTAATGTTTAGGTGATCATTATATGTTAGTAGGCACAATATTATAATGTAATATACTCATACTAAATACTGGTGAACTGCAACATTCAAAATCTACATACATGTACAATGTAGCATATTTATTCTATTAGAATCGCATATGCTAATACCTGAATGACAGTGTTCATAGTCAAAATATTTTAATGATCCAGCATACTCTAAATGCATGTATCTGTATGCTTATATTCCTGATTTTAATACAGCAAATACATACTGTATTATTCTCAGCCAATCAAAATACTCTGTTGATGGGCTGTTCTCCTGCAAACAGACATTAAACTGTAAATGGCTTTACTTTAATGCGTCAGAAAGTATCCTGAAGATTTTTGAATATTTTTATAAAATCACTTTTGCAAAATTGCATGCAAAGTTAATAGTTTGTAAAGAATCTTTTGTAGAGGATCATGTGACAGTTTTGATATTGTGAAAATACCCTTGCCAATTTTAGCAATTAATACACAGGAACGGCAGTAGTTAGGCTCAAACTCATTCAGGCCTTGACCTTTGCACTTTGACCTATATGATTTGGATGTCAATCATTTGTTTTTATGTTTAAAATGGATCATGAATATTCATAAGGCCAAGGGAAAAAAAAAAAGTTATAAGCAGAAATGATGAAAAAGTATTTATAATATACAGATGGCCAATTCTAAAAAGACATCCAGAAAAATAATGGATGTGCCCCAGTATGCCACCAATACACTAAGTAATTAGTCGAAACAGAATTGGCCAGCACAACTTGCATGTAGAAATAACGCTCAAGATGTATAAAATGTAGGTTTTTAGGCAATTTTTGGGTCAAATATGGCCACCAGACACATATGTATATCATCCTTTGTATCAAGTTTGGGAAAAATAAATCTATGAAATTCTGAGAAAATGTGACCAATGAATGAAACCCAATCCAAAAGTCCTTGGACAAAGACTAATAGATGTATGTCCACAACATACAAACAACATCTAGGCATATCAATAACAAACACTTTTGGTTCAATCATGGAAACCAAATTATTTCCAGCAGCGAAAATTTAAATTGACATGGTTGTACGTTCAAAAGGGTAAAGCCAGATATTATATACTTATGGGAGAGCTGATCAGAAATTTGATAAATTCTCAGTGTTTTTATAGTATGTTATGCTACTATGCTGACATCAGATGAGTTAAATAGTACGACTGAATTTACTTACCTTTGTCATACTGTTTAAGATATGCATTCAATTCAACGGTAGTCGGATGTGTTCCTAGTGATCGCATTACAGTAAGTAAATCATTTTTGTTGATAATCCCTTTACCTGTCCTGTCATATAAGGAAAAA